TAAGCTATTAATTTCAATAGCTTCTCTTATCTTTCTTTTAAACACATACGTACCGTAATAAGCAAACCTACTAGTTTAAGACCATTTCATTTCATATCCAGTATCTACCATGTGTTCGGCCATTTCTGACCGTTGGACCCAGCTTTCTTTACAAGCATTTTTGTGTTCTATCAATCTTTGTCGAATAGGTCGGCATGTCTCACAAAGATAACATTGACCACATGAGCAAACAATCTTGTAGCAGCCGGATCTCGATAATGGATTATATTTCTCTCCAAATGATGGCATAACAGAAGAAAGTGTGAGGGTTTCTTTAAGTACTGTTTTTATGCCCCACTTTTTAACTAATTCGTCTATCTTTTTGAGAAAAAGCATGAGGGTACAATTAGGACATGGGAAAAGGTCTCAGTCTGTCTCTCTTTGACTAAATGATTTCCGTCTGAAAATGTATTTCACAGTAAAGAGATATTATTCTCAATAAGGCCTAAAGGATAATTATTTTCCAGGAATATATTTGTCAGCTGTTCCAACTCTTTAGTCAAATGTTTACTATCAGATAGTTTCATACTTCTAAGAATGATTAATTTCGAAATCCCAACCTTAGTCTTGTAATTATGATTGGAAAGAAAATTAAGCAAAGAGCCAACATATTTTGGCTTGCTATAAAACATCTCTTTCTAACCTACCCTCTTCTCTAATGATGAGAACGTCCAGAAAATGTAAGGTCTCCATTTAATTTACATAGCCTTGCTTTCCCTTGAAATTCAACGAAAATCTTAGCTCTACATATTTAATTGTGGTAAAATTCTACGACCAGTATTCATGACCTTAAAAGAAATAGGGTGAATACATATCATATAACTGAGTTACTGGTAGTCTCAAAATTCTACTAACATACGCAAAATAATTAACGTAGTCTATTGGTATAGCAAAAATATGTTTGCCTTACCAACAACCCCACCAAAGAATGTGCTATGGGATAAGGTTTGGCCTTCCTCGAAATTCAAATCTGCCTTGTGACCAAAGGGCTTTCGTTGCAATGTAGCCAAATAGTTAACGTGTCAATCTCACATTCTGCACTGTACGGTTCGACTCCCGCTGGAAGTGTTGATAATACGTATGCGAGGTCGAAACTGCAGTCCACCTTGGATGCTAACAACTTTTGGGAAAGCAAGGCTATGTGGAATGCAATGGAAATGAAAAATTCTAATTCCGATTCTTCATCACCTTAAACAAAATAGGATAGATACATCTCATATTACTGATTTACTGTTAATATTAAAACTCTTCCTACATACGAAAAATTATAAAAGATACTTTACATTTTGTCCAATCAAGGCTATTTTGATTAAAAATTAAAGAATTAATATTAGAATTATATTTAAATGTTTTAAAATTTAATTCAGTGGAAGAGCAAATATTTTGGAAAATTAAAAATCAATGAGTGGATTAAGTTCTTACATTAACCTATTTTTTAATCCTCGCCCTCTCATCGCGCAAATTCTATGTGCTAGCTCTACACACTCTGTTTTCGTTTATTATTCTTTTTGTAAACAAAAAGCCAAAGCATAGAAGCATTGGTGGCCGCCTTAACGGTAATACTACTCTTCATTGCATTTATATTAAATTAGGGGGCTGCCTGTTGCTGAAGGTTGTGGGAAACTGGCTACTCTCATTATGACATATTGTAAAGCTCAAAAATCAGAGTTTTGGTCAACTATCGATGCATGCAATCCTTTGTCAGATCTCGAGCTCTTAACCCTTTTAAAAAAAATAATTCCGAACCAGAATGGGTCGTTCCATATTGCAGATTTGGCTTTAATTTGCTTGAGGATGCGCCAATGGAAGACACTTTTTCCACATATAGAGCCATATTACCAAATACTTTGCCGTCAGGACTTACAGGTATCATTTTATTTCTATTTTTATTGAGATGACCTTTAATTAATTTTGTTATTTCTAATGGTGACTACTGCTCCTGAATTCGTCAGATTTTTATTTATTTAGTTCGAATAGAACAAATAAGTTATTTTTTTAATTGCATATTTTTAAGGGCATATTTTTAAAGCGCATTAAAGGATATTAATATTTGCTTCCATGCTAATTTTGAAATTCGTGCATTTTTCCAACTTAAACTCAGCATATAAGTAACATTTTATTACCTGAATTATTTTACTTTTGAGAACACCATGAAAAATTTCACTTTATATTTTTATATTGCCTTTGCCTAGATATATTATCTATTATTCTTATTTAATTATTACCAATTTTAGAGTTCGCTCATGAGTCATATTTTGTTTCTTGTCTATTACTATGGATGCTTTGGTCTTCAAAATTGTATACCTTTCTCGCATTTACATTATTTATCCTTTATTTGAGTGGTTACATACGCTTTTATCACTCATTTGTTAATATACGCAATATAGTGGACGTCTTTTGCTTTTCCTCTTTATTCGTTCCTAGCTATCACCGACAGTTCGCTTTTCCATATTTCTTTATTTTGATTTGATCTTTTAGGTCTTAGAGCTTCTTACTTTTCTTGGTGCTGGCTTCATTTGTTCTAACAAGCATGAAGTGGACTCAGCTGTAAAAGTTCTTTCTGCCTTCTACTCGGACACACAGCTCGACGAAGTTATCTCAAGTCGACTTATCTATTCAAACCCATTCAAATTCAAAAAGGTTTGCGAACCTTTTTAAGTTTTGAACAATTCAATATTGTATATTCATGAAATTTTTTATATCAACTTCTCTTTTTATTATTGAAAAGGATATCATTCATGCTGCGAGAAGTCGAATAATCCTTACTACCTTTGATTCTTGTGAGGAGCTTCTAAAACTTCACACTATATGGCCGGAGGCCAAGCTAATTCTTCGGCTTTCTCTTAGGGGAATCCTAGAAGATGCTGAATTTCCTGATGGATTCGGGGCAAACCTGGCTGAAATATTTCCCCTTTTAGACAAGGCATCGCGTTTGGGCATGGAAGTGAGTTATTCTTAGATTATGTAGGAGCCTGTTCACCAGTTAAGATTTTGTATTTAAAAGTTTGAGCATACTGAATATGTCTGTATTCAAGACTCTCCATTCTTTCATAAAGCGCCTATCTATAGTCTTTATTTTACCTCGTTTTCGCAACTTTATCAGAGTGACAGGGAGACCTTGTAGAATTTGCCTAGT